GATGTATACATCTAAATTTCGAAAAATTGACCCTTATGACTGGTTTTGTGGTCCAGGGTCACATATAATTATTTTAAAGGGAGGTGATTATTTTCCATACCCACTGTATATTGACAGTTTCTTAATTTCCCAGTTTCTATTGGTAATATAGTTAATTATATATATATACAGTGTGTATATATATATATATATATATATATATATATATATTTATATTAGTAGTTATAGTTCATTTAACATAGTTTGTAGGGGGCCTTCAGAACTGCTGGTCTAGAAGGATTGCTGATCTCAAGTAAACCATTTTAAGATGCTTTAACATCATGAAAGCTGTATGGTAGTGTGAGCCTGACAAGTGCACCGTAATTCTCCTTCAGCACTGATGTTTCCATGACCACGTCCATCTGTGAACCATTTGTGCCTGGTATATTGCGTGCAGTGTCTTTAGAGCAGGAAGAGCTAAGATCCTCCTTACCACATTCAGAGGAATTCGTTCTCTCGCACCCTCTATAACGAGTCAAATGTTGCCACCGCTACTCTAATGTGATAACCAGAACTAATCTTTCACATACCCTGCACCCAGCCATTGCACAAATAGCGATTTCTGTTGCCTAATTAAGCAGTTAATTAGTTCAGGTGTCATGAGTCCTACACCCTGAGATAAGCTTGTGATTTTAAGGATGGAAGTCCTATTTTGATTGAGTGCTGCTGCTGTGTTGGTCATTACGACTAGCAGCTTGACAAGCGGCGGATTTGAATTGCTTGAGCAGCTTGAGGAAACCGAGAAGAGATTGAAGGCAGGTAAGTCGGGGGGGATGTCAATACCTTGCAGGGCAGGTCCACAGTTTCATCAACCTGGCTAGCGGGGTGGATGGTTCATAATGTTCCTTCCCACTGAGTGAACCCCTATTAAGCACCAGGGTAGAGTATGTTAAAGTTGTCTCGTTTATCCTTCTCTTCTTCACTTTCAAGACTTCGAACCGATTCCTTGATGACATGTTGGTTGCTGTCACCTCATGGGAAGCGCAAATAAACATTCTGACTGGGATAGGAAGGTCAGATGCATTATAAATGAATTAAAGGGCATAGTTTAATTTACAAATTGGCTTGAAAGTTCCCTCACTGAATTTTGGCCCACAGTGCTGATGTTTTTCAGAGCGATAAGTGGTGTCACGAAAACATGCTCTGGCCAAAAAGCCACAGGGATCTGCGGATATATTGCAAACCTCTTGAACGTTGTTTGCGAACCTTTTGACCACAACCATGAATCAGGGTTGTTGTTGCTTTATCCCCCGTCTGTGTGGTCAACACATCTTGCGAATGACTTTCCTCTAGACCTGGTCATATCAGGTCACATCCTCCTCCAGACTTGGACATCCCAATCCAAAACCTTCTGACATAGTGTGTCTAGCATGTGGGTCTTCTGGTATGCAAGAGGTGTCCTGTTCTCTGCCTGTGCTATTTTCTGTCAGGCCCCAGAGAAAAGGAACAAACTGAAAATGAATGGCAGGGCTCTTTCTTCGTCTTGCGGTAAAAACAGATGAGAGCAAAAGAGAAACAAGGCCAGAGCAGTCCATGGTGGTGTGGTCGGCCTGGGCTGGCTGGCTGCCTGTCGGGGTCTAAGGACTCCTCTATTCCCCGCTGGTCTCTGGCTCAGAAGCTCAGTCGAATTCAGCAGCTAAACCACACTTGCTCCAGGCCAGACTTGACTCACATCAGTGATCCACATTCAACCTCTGGGGAATAAATTGTCTCTGTGCTTATGCTAGTATGCCATGGATTTAACTCAAAGTGTGTACTGTATTAACACAAAGCATTCATTATTATGAATTCAACGTAGAGTATATTCTATCTATGCACATTTGATTCAAACCAAAAAAGTATTTGTATTTTAAGAGTGAATAAACGTACTTTGTTTGCTTACCTAGTCAAGGTGGACATCATATTCAGTTTTAAGCAAATAAAAACAATGCTTGAAGAAGGGAAGTACACTTTTGTTTGTTTCAGAAATCACCTCTAGTTTAAGCCCAGTCTTAAAAAAAAGTTACTGACCAATTAGCAACTGTTGTCGTTCACCATTTTCTTTTTTTAAAAATGTAAATCTATAGACAGTCATTGTGTTTGGATAGTTTTAAAGGCAAGTTTACAAAAAAAATCCAATAATACTGCCATAATGTTGCAGAGTCAGTTATAAGGTATTTGAGTTAGCAACAGTAACTGAGGCGGACCTTAGTGGAACATCAATTAAATATGGTTTTCTAACATTCATTAGTTTTATTTTAATGTAATTTATTCCTGTGATGCAAAACTGAATTTTCAGCAGCCACATTTCAGTGTCTTTCAGTGTCACATGATCCTTCAGAAATCATTCTAATATGTGATTTGGTCCTCAAGTAACATTTCTTATTTTTATCAATGTTGAAAACAGTTGTGCTGCCTAATATTTTTGTGGATATATGTTTTTCAGTATTCTTTGGAAAATAGAAAGTTCAAAAGAGCAGCATTTATTTGAAATCGACATATTTGGTAACATTTTAAAAGTCTTTACTGTCACTTTTGGTCAATTTAAAAAATAAATAAATAAATAAATCTTACTGACCCCAAACTTTTGAATGGTACTGTACAATATTTCTAAGTGGCTTTCACTATGGGGGAAAAAAATGAAATTTTTCCTTCCAGAACCCTATTTTTAAGCAGTATTGGATAGAGATAAATATAGGAAAAAACATTATTGTTTGAGATTAAACCCCAATAAAGGCGGCAAATCTGTCATACTACAGCTTAATTCACAACAATGTAAGCGACTGCATTCTTGCAATGCTTAAATCATTGTTAAGCATGCCTCCAGGCCCTTGCCTCCTCCTTGACTGGTGTGAACACAAATACACTGGTGTTAAGAGAGTCAGCCGCAACACGTCTGGCATGATGGGATCACTTCCTTCTGCAGACTGGGCACCCACTGTCAGCCCGACCCCAGATAATTAACCTCTGCCACTGGGGTTCAACAAGAAAACAATCCCACAGAGCTCTGTGTGTATGCTAGCGTGACTGTGTGTGTGCCCCGTCTACAGGTGCCTGTGAGGGTGTTAAGCGTCATCCTTCTCGCCATCTGCAGGCATGGGACAGGGTAATGGAGAGGGCTAGGAACACATGCCCAGTGCTTCAGACGGCATAGCAGGTGGCTGAAAGCGGGTAGCGCAAGGCTGGGTCTTTGACTGAGGTGACTAGGTTAATTAAGGGGTGAGTCTTCAGGGTCTGGGGGGCCCCGGGGCAGGCGTTTGGGGGGGGGTTGATCGAGTGCAGAAAGAGGCCACGCCACTCACCCGCTCCGCTTCCTGTAGGGTATCTGTGCCTCTCTTCACGAGCGGACCTCTGGATTCATAAACTCACACAAACGCATGCACACGTGTAGCACATATGTTCTTTGGGTCCTGAAGGAAGTGTCTTTTAACTGAGTGTGTTGTTTCTGTAGAGCTCTCGGTTGTGAAAATGCAGCTGTGCAAATCCCTATCGAACCGAAAAAACAACAGGCCGTGTTGATCCAAAACAACCATCGAGTTGAGTGCGTCTGATTAGTAAAGAGTCGGATTGTGAAATGAGTCAGTATGTCAGGTACAGAAGATCTGTAAGCTATTATTATGGAAGAGTCTGGGTCTCAGGGTGGGTCACAGGGAGGCAGTGAAGTTTGGCAGGTGTCATAGAACAGGAACTCAACGTGACCTTTTGTGTGTCCTTTCAGAAGATGAAGAGGAGGAAGAAGAGGTCACAGAACAGAAAGCTGGCCCAGAAAATAACCTGCAGGAGGAGGAAGAAAGCAAGGACACAAAGGAAGGTAAGAGTGGGTGTGAGTGTGTTTGCTTAGCTAAATCTTATGAAACCTCCCTTTGAGGATATTCAGGGATGTCCTCAAAGACAGAAATGATACTTACATAAGCAAAATGGTTTTTAATAATAATAACAACAGCAATATTTATTTATTAATTCATTCATTTATTCACATTTCATATAATATATGAAAATTATGTTTAAATATTATAACTTTTGTAATATAAATAATAAAAAAATTATTGTAGACCAAGGGTTTAAGATAATTTTTTATACTTACCTTTAAATTAAAAATGTTTTGTTCATAATAATAAAATCATTACAAGTATTATTACTTAATATTATTATTTATTTTTTGTTTTATTTTATTATATTTTCTTATTAGAAAGCACAGTATTTTATGCCCTAATGCTGCAACATGCCTTAACTACCAAATGTTATATTATATTATATTATATATGATATTATATTATATTATATTATATCATATTATATACAGAAAGCACTGTATTTTATACTCTAATTCTACAACATGGCACAGCTAGAGCTATAATATTATTTAAAAAAGATACTAAATTAGGTCTTTTTTATTATAGTGTTAAAATTAGTCTATTGTATTTAAAATGATTTTAAATAAAAACAATTTTGATTTAAAAAAAAAAAACTATACCAGTCTATGGTATAT